TAATAAAATTTGAAAGTACACTTTACCTCTTCAATTACGGATGCATCCGTACACCAAATGCGTCCGTACGCTGATAGGTGGGAAAAGATGGATAATGGAGTTGGGGCATTAATGGTTAGAGGGTGTGGATGTGTCAACCTAAAGTCCCACTCTCTATTTCCACTTTAACGCATAAAAAATTAAAAAAAATAATAAAATTGGATGACAAAAGGTGGGTTAAAAAACCCACCTAGACTATTTATTATACTCGAGCCTTATAACATTCAAAAAATATACTCTGAACCTTCTAAAGTAACACGGTATCTCTTTGTAAATTTGCAACCATGGACCATCAAACTGCAAACCAAAAAGTTTCCACAAAACTTTTGATTTTTACGTGGCCTTCATGCCTTTCAGGTACATAAATGAGTTCGCTAAATGGAATCTTAGCCGTCCACGCTCTACAAAAGAACGGTTGATAATTGATATGAATCATTGCTTGTGAAGAGCCATCCATATATGGTTGAGAATAATCATATTGCTTGTCAAATGAAAAAAAATCCTTTATTATTATTATTTTTCATTGCTATTGTGTACTGTCCTTTCCATAAACCCCCACATAAAATCATCTGTCTCCACTTATATTTAGGGGATTGTCTGTAAAGCACTGTTCAAAACAACAGATCGGGCGGACTAGTCGGTCCAGGCCTGATCCGATTAGTGCAACCGATTTCAACTAGATAGGTCGGTTAGTGTCTTGATTTTTTTTGAAAATATAATTTTGGTAAAAAATATAAAAAAATCCCAAAAAAATTGTAAATAATGTTTAAAATTTACATGTATTGTTTTTTTTTATGTTGTCACATAAAAAAATAAAAAGATAAATATTATAAGCATAATTGGGTTTTGAAGAAAATGATTAGGCACCTGAAGAAATACTTCTTCAATGACCAATATATAATAAAAATATATTAATATTATATATTATATATAATATGTAATCAATATATACTATATAATATAAATTATATTAATAAAATAAAAGTAAAAATAAAAATAAAAAATATAATATATAATATGATATGATATAATATAATATTATAAAATATTATAATACTCAAGGCTGTGCTTGTTTTTTTGGGTATTTTGGAATTCAACTAAAAGTGTAGGTAAAATATAAAATTGTTCGTCTCTATGGCAATTTTGATAAATTTCCATCTCTCTCTCTCATATATGTATCTATGTGTATATCTATGTGCCCCTCAGGGGTTGGTGGTGTAATTATTAGATTGAAGATCAAATCAAATGAACAACGAATAAATTTTATATCCCCCGAGTTGAGAGACCTACAGGCTTGGGACCCTGTCGGGCCACCTGACCAACTCTGATGCGTCTGAGTTTACTTGCCCAAAGCGGCAAACCCTACAGCTAGCAAATAAAAAATTTATAATAATATATAAAGTTTTAAGTAGGGAAATAAAAGAAGGAGAATTGTTTCATGCAGGCTGGATTGCATTTCTACAATATGTGGTCCACAAGTATGAAGCATCCATCTCAAAGATGGATGCAAATAGGTAGTCCATCTAAAAATAAGTGTAACTAACAGTCCAAGTGTTTTATTAATATAATTACTATTTCTATGCTCTTTTTTTTATCATATTCATGATCTCCATAAAAAATTATGATCAAATTGTATTTAAAAAATATATTTATTGCCAAGCCTACATTTCTACAATATGCAGGTTGGCATTATAGAAACCGTGTCCATAGAAGAATAGAAAAAAGAAGAAGAAATATATATATATATATATCGTAAAAAAGCTTTTGTAAGCCAATGAACTCATAAGAAAAAATGAGCCCAATGGCTCAGATTGAATCTGGGCCGATCTAACAATCACGGGTGTTCGATAGTGTTTGAATTTTAATTTTAATTTTTACATATCTAAATCACTTGAAATTTTAGACGTGTGTTGATAAAAAATAGGTGAATATTTAAAAAATATTAAAAAAAATATTTT